TTCAAACCTCTGTCTCCCCAAAAGGAGACTTAACCATTGCTTATATACACTATTTGGTCAATTACATGTTGATTTTTTCTTTTCAATTGGCTACACTTCTCTGGTTAAGTTCCTGCCAAACTCATTCTCTTTACCATTGTGTCTGTAAAATATTGTGCTATATTTTAACATTTAGCAAGAATAGTATTGAGTAAGAACCCCTCAGGCCTTGATACCCTGTCCCATCTAACAGAGGAGACATCAAATATGAGAGACAAGATAAGGTCAGAAGAGACGACCTCCATGGCCAAGTTCTGCTAATGAGACATCCACTAACAAGTGCTCTGAGAGAGAGAACAGGGAAAGGGAGGGGGAGGGGAAAATCAAGAAAAAGGAAGTTGCACAGAGTTAAGGAAAGATTTTACTTTGTGAATGAAAAGCTCACTTAGTGGCAAGCACAAGAAATAGGAATAAAATATGTTCTTGTACACGTAGATCCATCTTCATGACATTTCAAAGCACCAAGGACAAGAAGATTCCAACACAGTAACATCTGGGGGGCTCAGGTATAGAAAGCAGATTGTTATCAGCCCTAGTATAAGCTGGAGGACAAATGGAGCGATGTCTTCAGAATTTTGAGAGAAATTGATTTTGAACTGGGTTTCAAAAGTACATTTTTTCCCATTGATTTCAGAGAGAATAATTGACCAGTTGTCTCCTGTATGCCCCTACAGGGGATTGAGCCCAAACCCAGGCGTTGTGCTCTTGACCAGAATGGAACCTGGGACCCTTCAGTCTGTAGGCCAATGCTCTATCCTCTGAGCCAAACAGGCAAGGGTTAACTGGGATTTTTAAATGGGCTGGGCTTGTACTGGGATTTTTAAATGCAGTTCATCCAGCTATGGAATGAATGGTCAGGGGAAAAAATTTTTTTTCTCAACATCAGGAATTTAGAAAGTTTGCTTCCCACACACCTTGAAGGTTTATGCAGACAAAAGTAGGGTGGAAACCAACCAAAGGAAAGATGGGACCTACCACTGGATGTGATCCAGAGGAGTCCAGTTGGCAGCAGGTGGGGGAGGAGGGTCTGGGTGGGAATGCAGATGGAAGGGCAGGGCAAAGAGCCTCATACTGCATGCAAGAAGTTAGAAATAGTTACTGCTGTTGATGGAACAATAGAGTCGGGTATCTATACTAATAAAAGAGTAATATGCTAATTAGACCGGGAGACCTTCTGGACGTCCTTCTGGACAAAGCTATGGTGGTGGAGCCAAGGCTTAGGCAGTTAGGGGCGATCAGGGCTGGCAGGGGAGGGCAGTTGGGGGCAATTGGGCTGGAAGGGGGGGCAGTGGGGGGTGATCAGGCCAGCATGC